TCATCCCCAATATGTCTGTATCTTTCCTGAAGTGGTTAAATTTATCATAACCACCTTCTACTAGAGGTGCACTGATACATCAGTCCATATCATATTGGCACCAATAAAAGGAAAATTGACATTATTGGCAATTGGCATTTTTTGCCTGATGTGCCCAATAATGTCGCCGATAAATGCCATGTGCAGCCACACCCTACACACAGCCAGCCCAGCAGCTTGCAAAGCAACATCCAGCTGGTAAGTCTGCAGTGGGGGAGGGGAAGGGAAGGGCCAGGGGGGCAGATCGAGCCTCCTGCAGCGGAGGGAGGGAGTGGGGCAGGGGCAGGCACTGCTCAGCCATGGCTAGGTATGGGACAGAGCCACAAGTAGCTCGTCCAGGGAGTGCAGGGAAAGGGGTGTAGATCCCGCTGCTACATGCACCCCCAGGAGAGCCATGAGGGGCATGGGTCCCCTGGATCTGTGTGCAGGGCAAGGACAGCCTACCGCTGTGGGCTGGGGCCAGAGGCGTTGTTGCCAGGCTCTTCCCAGTGGAGGGGGGCAGGGACTGGGCCAGGGCTGTGCTCAAGGAGGGAGGGAGCAGCACTGAGAGGATGGGCTACAGCAAATTCTGTGGTGGCTGTAGCCCCCCCACCCCGAACTCCTGCCACCCCAGCACCACAGCTGTCTGCCCTGAGCACAACCCCAGTCCAGCCCCCTGCCAGGAAGAGCCCAGTGCTGCCTCCAGCTCCAGCCCACAGCACACAGATCTGGGGAGCATGCCTCCTATGGCTCCCCTGGGGAGGGGGGGGGGGGGGGGGAAGAGGGTAGCAGCAAGGATTCACCCCCACTGAAAAGGCTCTGTCCCACACCTCACCACAGCTGGGCAGCACCTGCCCCAGCCCCATTCCCTCCCTCCCTCACCACAAGGGTTTTGATCTCCCCCTCTGCCATGCCCTTCCCTCCCCCTGCAACAGACTTACCAGCCGGATGCTGTTCTCCAAGCTGCCGACGGCACACCAGCAATTGGATCAGTATCAGCCAATAAGGCTCATTAATAATCAGCCATCAGTACTGGCCCAAAAACATCTTTACCGGTACACCCCTACCTTCCAGAGACTTTTGAACATGGGTAAGTGAATCAGTGCGTGACTGGTGCCAAGAGAAACTTTACAATTCATTTCAAGTGCAAGAGAGAAGGAAGCCAGTTTGGCTCATTTGCTATGGTCTCCAGAAGGTCTTAGATTAAGTGCCAAAGCAAGTTATACTTGCCTGAACCCACAAGCGGCCTTTCAGTCTTCACCACTGTTTTTAATGTTTGCTGTGAGGTATAAATGTTGTCTAGGCCAAGAGTTGCAACCTTGAAGGAAATGAAATTTCTAGGTATTGGCAGAAAACTTTTGTCCCCAGTAGTTTGCCCCCAGTCACTGTTCTTTCACCAGAGGAACAGGAGTCCAACCCTCTTCTTAGGCCATCTCTTTACAAATCGAGGATGATTGTCTTTCATGATGGTCTTATCTGTATGTCCAAAGATGGCTGCTGAGGCCTATTTGGGATTGACAGACTCTACTGCAGCTCAGACATGTGTATCCATATAGGGTAGGTGGCACTGGATTCTTGATTTGGTTCGCAACATGTTGTTTCTGCCACTCCTGCTTTTCCATCTCCTGATGTTGTTGTGAGGTTTCAAAGTACTGAGATCCCTGTAGCAGACTCTGCCTCCATTTGGAGCAGTCCTGGGCAATAGTATCCCAAGAGTTGCCATTGATATTGTATTTTTTTTAAGTTGGCCTTGAGAACGTCCCTGAAGCATCTGCCCTCTTCTTGAGCATACACTTTTGCTGAGCTAGGAGAATAAAACTTGCTCCAGGAGTCTGAAGTTGGACATCCAGAAAATATGGCAAACCCAACAAAGTAGATGTCAGATGATCACTGCCTCAATACTTGCGGTGCTTGCTTGCAGGTGGATGCTAATGTTGGATGCTAATGTTGGTCTTCCCACTGGATTCAGAGAGTCTTCCGCAGGCAGCATTGATGGTACTTCAACAACTTCAGATGTCTCCTGTACATTATCCATGCCTCAGCTCCGTACAGCAAGGAGGGATCATAACTGCTTGATAAACCACAAGCTTGGTTTTGGATCCTATGTTGTGATCGTTGAACACCTGTTTCTTCAGGTGTTCAGGTGCACTTGCACATGAGGCAATGTTGGGTTTCTTCATCAATAACAACCTTCTGCAAGAGAGGGCTTTTAAGGTACAGGAAATACTCAACATTCTTCAGAGTCACACCATGGGCCTGGATTACCCGAGCTGGGGACTGTTCATTAAGAGCTTGTTGGTGGAAGACCGGAGTCTTCGGAATGTTAAGCATCAGTCCCATTTTCTTGTATGCTTCAGTAAAGACGTTGATGATTGCCTCAAGATCTGCTTCCGAATGAGTGTACACTACAGCATCATTGGCATACTGCAGCTCAATGATTGAGATCAGGGTGATCTTGGTTTTGGTTCACAGTTGGCTGAGGTTAAACAGCTTACTATTCATTCAGTAGTTTAGCTCCATTCTGGCTGGAAGCTTGTTGGTGGTCAGATGTAACATTATGCCAAGGAACAAAAGTGTGTTGGAGCAACAACACAGCCATGCTTAACTCCCGTTTTAACCTCAAAGGGATCTGTGATCGATCCATTACTGAGAAACACTGCTTGCATACCATCACAGAACAAGCAGGGAATGGTGACCAATTTCAGTGGACATCCATACTTCATAAGGATCCTCCACAACACTTCTCAACTGACAGAGTCGAAAGTTTTCATGAGGTCAAAGAAGGCCATGCAGAGTCTTATGTCGTTCCTGCCATTTCCCCTGTAGCTGGCAAGCTGTGAAGATAGTGTCAGTTGTGTCTCTTGATGTCCTAAAACCACACTGAGATTCTTTCCACTTCCTGTAGAAGTCCTCCTGGAAACAGTTCAGGAAGGTTCTCACAATCATCTTTCCTGTGGTAGACAGCAAGGCAATCCCTCTGTAGTTTCCACAGTTGGACTTGTCTCTCTTTTTTTTTTAAAGAGAAAAAGGTTGTCACAATCATGGCATCCCTGAGGTTGTCTGGGATTTCATTATTCCAAATCCTTAAGACGAGGGCACGCAGCTGTGATGTGAGCTCCTCTCCTCCCTGTTTGAAGATTTCAGTGGGGATTCCATCCACTCCAGATGCCTTGTTGTTTTTCATCTGCTTGATGACCTTCCTCACCTTGTCAAGAGTCAAAGGGATTCTGAGATCATCTCTGACTGGCCATTGCAGGATGGAGTTGAGAACACTCTCGTCAACAACAGTCTCAATTGAGAAGGTCTTCAAAATGCTCCTTCCAATGGGCATTGATGGCTCCCCTTTCCTTGATCACGTCTCCTTAGGTCTCATCCTAAGGTCTCAAGGGGGTTGGTCCCCGATAGTTCAGACCATAGATGGCTTGGGTGGCACTACCAACATTACCAGATACATGAAGATAACACAATTTTGTTTTGTTTTAAAGTAGGACTAGAAGGGTCTTCTGGAGGCAATCAAGTCCAACCCCCATCCCAACACAGGACCATACCTACTCAGACCATCCTATACAATTGCTTGTCTAACCAATTGTTAAAGCTGTACAAACAACCATCTCATACAACTAATCAAGTGCGATGCCCAAAAACCTAACTTGCCACAGGAAAAGCATGGGAATGAGGACACCAATTATGCCCTGGCAATCTAAGGACAGGTAGTAGTTTATTAAAAATATACTTAAGAGATCCAGGAAACACAACCACACCCTCTCCTATACAGGAAGACTAAATCCCCAGTCTAAGCCAATCTGGCTCTAGGGTAAAATTCCTTCCTGATCCCAAATGTGGAAATTGGTCTGACTGAGCAAAGAAGCAATTCCCTCTTTCCAGGAACCAACAGTTGAAGCCAGAGCAACAGACAGGCACACCCCAGTCAAAATACCCATCCGTGGCTGCAGCCAACATCCAATGTTTTTGGAGAATGCATGAAAGACCCTCAACACCTGTAGCAATAGGAGAGGAAAAAAAAATCCTTCCTGTTCCTCCATGGCAACCAGCAAAGCTCAGAAGCATGGGAAAAACCAAATGCCTTCCATCCTGCACTACAACCTGGGAACCGCAAACAGAGCCCTACATATCACAGAGCCTGACTGGAGAGCCAGAACTCCCTTATTTTTCCTATGTTACAGGGGTGTAGGTTGTAGCCATGTTGGTCTAAGAACATAAGCAGACAAGATTATTTGGGTGAATCTGATCTCTTTTATTAGACCAACCAAAAAATCCCCCACCCAGCCTGTGTCTCATCCACCAACTCCTCAATTTATATCTTCACTGACTGCCTTGCATGCATACCAGCCCAGCCTCTGGTTTCTTTACTATTCATTCCATCCAGGAAGAGAACACACCAACTGCAGAGACTTCCTCAGCCTGACAAAGGGTTTTTAAACCCAAAAGCTTGCTAAAAACAATTTTCCAACTATTTAAATTGGTCTAATAAAAGATATCATATATTACCCAAAGAACCTTGTCTGCCTTATTCCTCCTATAAACTTATTCCAGCTTTTTCCATCTTAAATTTCAAGCCAGCTGGGGAGTTCTGCTTTCATTCTTCTGCTGCTGAGCATGGTCATCTTCAAATTCCACCTGCTCTACACTGCAAAGTTATTTTTGTGATATTTAATCTTCTCATGAATTTTCATTAATATAACTAGTCACAGACACCGAGTACTACCAACTCTTTCCTGCACCCTCTTTCACCACAAAGATAGTATTTAAGTTATGGCAAACATCAACAAGACTTTATTCTTCTTTGAAAGGCTGCTTTCACTTGGAATGTCTCAAAACTTCTGGTATCTCTCCATGATGCCCATCAAACCTCTTTCCTCTGCAATTTGCAAACATATGCCAATAGATTTAATCATATATCTAGCCAAAATACAAACGGCTTGGATCTTTTCCCTGCTCCAGATTTGCAGCAGGAGGCTCACCTCACATCAAAACAAGTGCATACTTGAGGCATGCATAGAAATAGGCTTGGTCAAGAGTCTTATCTGATGGCACATCCATTCTGTCCAAGTAGCTTCAGGCATCACTACAAAAGGAAGAAATCATAGCAGGAAAAAGCAACAGTAAACATGAAACTTAAATGGTCTGCTATGTTTCAGTAAACATGAAACTTACATGGTTTCTGGTTTCATGGATTTTAACAGCACACGGGACAGCTGGGAGAGAAGACAGCGTCCTTTTATGCTGTCAGTGTAGGACCTAGTAACAAGAGTAAGCTTGCAATTCAAAAGGATGGCCTCCTGCATAAAAGTGCTGAGATTACATAGCTAGCCACACACACACACACACACACACACACACACACACTCTCTCTCTCTCTCAAGCAGTCCTATCTACACAACAGAAATCTCTCTTAAAGCCAGGTTACAGCAAGGCAACTGTACTATACTAGCAAAGCCAAAATATACATCTACATATAAGCAAAGAGACTAAAATCAAAACTATGTTCCTCAGCCAATAAACAGTAAATGGGGATGGTCATAACAAAATAAATCTGAGTTCAAAAGAATCTTGATCCTCACTCTCTACATTCCTTTTCCTTTCAAGATCAAAGATTCTCAATCAATCAATCACTCTCAAAGGTCATACTCTAAGTATATAGTTTATCTGTTACCATTGATACTTCTATAATAAAAAGGACATCAAAATATTTTCTACTTGAATAAGCAGTTACCTAAATGAAAGATGAGTTATATACACTTTGTGTGGGAATCTATAAGTGTTAAAGTAGAAAATCTGTTTTACCGCTTTAGAAAAGGAACTATTTATTCTGATATCTAGAAATGATTATAATTTTAGGGTCAAATCTTCAGATAGAAACCCAAGTTCTACTGTGAATATACTGCAAAAATGTGCACAAATAGGCAGAGAGGCTTTATTTTTGTGTGCAAACACCCAATTGGTACCTGGGACCAAAGCAATTATGCATACAATTACACAGACAAACTTCTTCACCTTTTGAAAATTTGACCTAAATAATCACCATTATTCACTTTTTTACTGAGGAAGAATTCTGTAGAAAACAATAACAACCAGCTGTAGTGCTTAACAAATTAACTTAGTCATGCCATTTATTTATTATGACTTTATACAAGAATAAGGTTGCAAGAATTAGAAGTGCAAGTAGCCACGGTTGTATCAAAATCCTCTGTAAAAAACTGTATTTAATTTATGCATTCCAACCAGATGGCATTTACCAAGAATTCAAGGTTTTTCAGGGGGGAGGTTGTTGCTGTTCATTTTAATATACCATGCCCAAAGTAATGATAACAAAACCCAGATTTTGTCCATTTTATTAACTATATTAATCTGGTCAACTAATTTTTCCCTACCAATATACAAACTCTTCACTTTTTGCCTCCATATCATAAAACAAAAATTCCAATCCTTTTCAGTCTCTTAGACCCAAAATGACCATAAAAGGTCACAGTATTATGCCCCTTATGCTATGCTCTTCAGTAAGTTATGTGCATACACAAGTAGAGGATGCTCCACATCCTAGTACTTGATTTACCATACTCTAGTATATGAAAGGCTTGTGACACTGCAGTACATTCAGCTTATTGAAAAAGGCAACTGAATAAAAACCAAGAAGCGCTGTAGTTGATCATTAAGCAAGAGGAGCCCTAGCAGCCACTGCAATGAGCCCCACAGACTTAATCTGGTCCAGCTTGCAAGAAATCCTGTGGGCTGGATGACCCACCTCAGTGGGCTAATGTGGCCCCTGGGCCCCATCTTTGAGACGCCCTCTTTAAAAGAACCTTGTGATTCCCTTGTCAGCATCCTATAGGTTTCCAGCATCTCCAAGAATTGCTGATTCCATGAGCCACCCAGTTTCCTAGACTTTCATTCTTGAACCAAAATGCTTATTATAAAATATGCTAGGCTAACAAATTTGAAGCTTTATCCAATACATGTAAGGTGAAATATTATCAAAATGAAGCTGGGTATGAAACAAGAGTAATGTTTCTTTTCCACTGTACAGTATTGCAACATTTTAGCTAGTGTTATACTCTGCTCCTGCCATCATATTATGGAAGACCTGGATTATAATTTGCATCTAGAGAATAAGAGTATTCAGATGAAATATAATACTTGGTATCGTACCATGAAACTTCTAGTTCATGCCTGTAGTCCAATTAAAATCTCAACCTTCAGTGCTACACTAATGTCGGATTTATAAAAAAAAAAAAAAAAAAAAAAAGAGAGAGAGTCTAGGGAGTGAGCTGTATCCAAAGCTGCAGGAAAATGGTCCAAAGTAAGTGGAATGATACTTGCAATGGACCCCTTTTTGTTGCAATGGATCTACTCCTGAGGTAAATCCCTAGACTCTGACTCAGAAGATAGGATTAGACTCTCATACCAATGTGGCTAAAGTAATTCACTCTGTTCCTCAGAGGGCCATCTATTAAGTGGGGAATAACAGTACTAGAAGTTGTCAAAACTAAGGCAGAATAATTAGAATCAGAACCAAGAGGCCTAGAGTTGAAACTATATGTAACTGAGATTAATATATTTGAAGTTTTCCAGTTGGACCTTTTCCAGCTCATCTTTGCCACTGAACATTAACCTACAGAAAAATGCATTTTCATCACCACTTACACTAGCCATTATGATGTTCCAGGACTATTGTTATTGTATTTTGGACAAATCCCAAAAGCTGCCAAGCACCTGAAGCTCCAATAATCTTTAGTGGGAGCTTAAGGTGTTCAACTTCTTTCATAATTTAATCCTTAAAAACTTTTAATAGAGTTAACTTTTCTTTCTGTGGCCTGTACTGCTATATAAAATAAGTTTCAAATAATTTATTTTGAGAATATACAGACTTCTTGAATAGCAATTTGTTTGGTTTCAAACCATTTCTCACATGCAGATAGATGCAGGGTTAAATTAACAGTAAATAATCAGGCCACAAGGCAGGCTAGGAGCAGGAGTTAAAAACCTGCAGGTCTAAAGTTCTGGTGCACTGCTGCCTTCCACAGAACATTTGGGACCAATTCAAGAACATCTCAAGATGGATAAAGAATGAGTACAAACTATATAGTAAAGAGAAGTGTGTAAGATAGTATGACCAACCCCGAAACATATGGATATTGTAACTGAATAAGTTCATTAATATCAGGAAATTGTAAAGGTGTAAGACATCAAATATGACTGATCATACAGAAGGCATGTATGAGAGCACAGGTGAACTTGGCACAAAAGATATGTAGGAACATTGTTATTATTAAGATGATTAAATCAGCTAGTCGTAAGGTATAATGATGCAGGCTGGATGCAAGCGCTTTTAATGTTTAAAAAGAGTATAACAGAAATGTACTTTAGCTTTAAGTTTAACGCTGCACTCTCCCTGCTTTTGGCCAGTCTCATTACTTGGCTGATGGCATGAATAAAGACTATACTCACAATCTATAGGGCTAGACTACCTCTGGGGCTGACTAAACGACCCCGTGAGGTTCTTCCAGCCCTACTTTCTTATGACCCTATATTCAATAAATAGCTGCTGCAAACTTCATTTGAACTATGTTGTAGTAGGACCGAATAGATCCTTGGAGACCACAACATGTATATAGTTAGACTGTGTTAGACAGCAGTGCAACTACTTCTATGCGACAAGCCCCCCAAATAAGTTCTCAATGTCATTTTCAACATTCTACACTAGGGGTGGCCAACCTGCTACACAAGTAGTATGGGCAGCCTGGGAGGAGCCTGCAACACAAGTGGCACAAGCAGCAGAGCAGCAGATCAGGCAGGGAGAAAACAAAGTGACTTTTGAGGAGGGTGTAGGGCTAACTTGTGGCACATCTGCCAACAAGGTTGGCCCCCACTGTTCATGATTAAACCTGTGGGAAAATACAAGTAATTTATACTTGAAAGACCACTGATTTTGAAAATAGTATTCTATTAATTTAAAATAAAATTGAAAACTTTTATTTTCACATCACAGGTACATCCAAATGCAAGTACATACTAAATCAGAACTGTCTAACTGGCAGCATGCAGCCCGTGAGAGATTAATCTGGGTCTCTGGGATGCCATCACGCTGCCACTCCCCCTAGAGCTCTGGTGGCTGCTACTGCTGCAGCCAGGGTCTCTGAGCTTCTCCTCCCTCCACTGGCTTCCTATTTCTGCATCTGCCCCAGGATGTGGGGAGGTGCAGCGTGCAGAGGCAGGGAAGCCCGCTGCACAGTAGGGAGTGGGGGAGCCCACAGCTGGTAAGCAGAGGCACAGCAGCCTGTGTAGAGGTGGGAGAGCAGGGAGATCACCTGCATGGCATCAGTCCCAGTGGCTCACACTGCTCAGGGCCCCTGCTGGTGCAGGCCACACAGGGTGAGACTCCCAGCTACTTAGAAGCAGGGTATACTAACAGAAAGGTAATGGTGTAACTATACATTGCTTTCCCCACTATTTCCTTGCACCTTTGTCTGTTGAGAAAACACTGCAAATTATACATTTCAAAGGAATGGCTTTCAACACTCCCTAAGAATTCCTGGTTCTGAAGATGACAGTTACTTAACCTCCTTTGGCTATATTGGGTGGATAGAGCACCACAGTAAAATGCCACACTGACCCCATGCATACAACCTCCTGAAACATAAGTAACTTAGCTGCCCGGCTGCGATGCTCACAGATGCGTGCCCAACACTGTACCGATGGCTAGCTTACTCCCATTTGGGAAGGTAGCATGCAGCACAACTTGCAGCAGCACTTCCTGGAGCAGCACCAGGGCTTTGCAGATGAGGTGCTGCGAGGTGCTGTCACAGGACATCCGCGTTTGGCAGCAGAGGAAAACCCTTCAGTTTTTGCATTTGGTTCGACTTGCCCGGGGCCGGGCTTCTCCCAGCACCCCCCGGAGGTGCACAGCCCTGCCGGCGACAGCACAGCCTGGCCGCCCCGTGCTCAGGAAGGGAGCGGGACCCGCTCCGCGGACAACCCCGGGCCCGGCGCCTGAGGCCCCGCAGAGACAAGCCGGCCGGCCGGCACCACTCACCAGCGGGCAGGACGGGTTCGGCGGCGGCCCCGCCACGGGCACCATGCTCCCGGCGGACGCCCCGCGTCCCCGCTCTACCTCCGGCCGGCCCCACTATAATCCCCTTCCTCGCAACGGAACCTGCTACAAGCACACGCGACCCGCGGCAGCCTATCCACTCCTGCAGCCTGCCTCCGCTGCGCCAATCAGGAACCCGCCCTCGGAGGAGGCGGGCGATCCCGGGGAGGGCGGGGCAAACTGGCCTCCCCCCAATCCTTGCCCACAATATTACTTAGGAAGGCCCAATCCGGCGAGGGCTGGAGAAAGGCGGCGTGGAATTGATAGCATGTTCGGTTGCCCAAAACAGGAACTGCTCTCTATTGGCGTGTGAAGGAGCCAGTTAGAAGCAGAAGCGACGGCGAGGAAGCGGGTCTGTTCCTTAAAGGAGCCGCAGGAACTAGCAGGGCGAGGGTAGGAGGAATGCCTCCGCGGCAAGCCCCGCCGCTCTCCGGTCGTGAGTGAGCGGGGCGCTGGGACGCTGTTGGGGCGAACAATGCCTGTGGGGCACTGGGGCTCGTGCTGCCTGCCCCCCCTTAGGGCCTGCAGTTGAAAACCAAGTGCCTGGCAGCAGCACCGTTTCTAGGCAGGCAGCGGCAAGGGAATCACTGGGCTTTCTGGCTCATTGTCCCCGGGGATCCTGATTTTCTGATTAAAAAATGCAAATTCTGATTAAAGCCCCCAAAACCCACGATTAAAAGCCGCCACTATATGTATAGGTATCAGCTGAACACCGTGTTTTATTGATATCTTTACAACGTTAAAACAATTTGGAACTCTAATAAAATAAATTCTAAATACCAAGGCAGACAAGGTTCCTTGGGTGAATATGATATCTTTTATTAGACCAACCCAAATAGTTGGAAAATAATTATTAAGCAAGCTTTCGGGTTCAAAAACCCTTCGTCAGGCTAAGGAAGTTTCAGCAGTTGGTGTGTGCTCTTCCTGGATGGAATGAAAAGTAAAGAAGCCAGGGGCTAGCTGGTATGCATACAAGACAGGTAGTCAATTAAAATGTAGATTGAGGAGTCAATGGGTGAGAGAGAGGCTGAGAGACCAAACAACAACTGCACACCAGAATGAACGCGCACCGGAAATCTATCAAAGACAGAAATACCCAATTACCTGTGGGGGCACATTTCTCACAAGAAAACCACTCTCTCTCCAATCTCTCAGTCCTGATCCTCAAAGGAAACTTACACAACACTTCCCAGACAGGAGCCTATGAACTCCACTTCATCAACATTCTGGATGCAAAAAATCATGGACTAAACATAGACATTGGATTTATGACACATTATAACCTGCCTGACATCTGACTCCCCAGGTATCTCTCCACTTGTTTCCCCCTTCTCTCTCTTCCCCTGCCCCCCCCACCAGCCTGTCTCTCACCCATTGACTCCTCAAGCTACATCTTCACTGACTGCCTGTCTTGTATGCATACCAGCCCGCCTTTGGCTTTTTTTATCATCCAGGAAGAGCACACACCAACTGCTGAAACTTCCTTAGCCTGACGAAGGGTTTTTGAACCCAAAAGCTTGTTTAATAATTATTTTCTGACTATTTGGGTTGGTCTAATAAAAGATACCAGATTCACCCAAGGAACCTTGTCTGCCTATGTCCTTAGACCAACACGGCTACAACCTACACCCTTCTAAATACCAATACATTTTGGCATTTAATTTGGGTTTTTATACTCTTGAACAATCAGAGCTCCCCCTTCCCTCTTTGCTCACCAGGACACAGATCCAGCTGTGACTGTCCCCCTCCTCCCTGCCTTGTGACTTCATGATGCCAGTGCCCTGCCCATACCATTGTCCCTCCCCAGCCACAGCACCCCAACCCTGCTGGTGCCCCTCACTCCCCGCTCATAGCCCTGCCAGAGGGAGCCCCCAGCTGCCAGGGCTATGGGACTAGGGATCTAGGTCCACAACCACCTGCAACTCTCCCCACCTCCTGCAGTGCCTGAGCCCTGGCTGCCACCTGTACGAGGTAGTCACAGCGGCTCTTGCAGCAGAGCGGAATGGAACTGGAGTGGAAGGGAGCCCAGCGCAGAGCCCGGCTCCCCCTCCCTGACAAGTGGCATGGTCAGAGCAGAGCCCATGGTGGGGGGAGGGGTACAGGCTGCCAGCTGCAGGCTTGGACTCCCTGGCTTCCTGCCCTCTCCATGGGGCCTCCACAGCCCAGTGGGCGGGCCAGGGCAGGGCAGCTGGTTCCCGCCGCTGCAAGCCCCACACTGCCATGGCCAAGTGCCCCCCACCTGCCCAGAAGCAGTAGCAAGGGGCACAACTGCACGCCACCACCCTTGCTGCTGCTGGGCAGGCAGGGGGACCTCACCGTGGCTGCGCAGGGCTCCCAGAAGTGGCACAAGCCTCCCGCCCCACTCTACCCTGCCAAGCCAGGTCCTGGCCGCTGGGCCACAGAAGCCCAGGGGCCAGGGAAGGGGCAGGGAGCCCAAGCCTGCAGCAGGCAGCCTGCACCCGCTTCTGCCCCATGCACAAATCTGGGGGGGCACATGCCCCCAACCCCCTTGCAGGAGTAGGAGCCACCCCCTCCCCTGCTCCCCTCCCCCTGAAAAATTGGCCACAGCTCCATCCCACTCCCCGCCCAGGCCCTGCAGCCACACATGGCCCTGGGCCCCAAGCTCCACACCAGCAAGGCAGTAGCCCCAGCCCTGCCTAACTCCCTCCCTCACTATGGGTGTCTCAATCCACCCCTACCCCCGCCAGACTTATCTGCAGGAGCTGCTCTCCAGGTTGGCTGGCAGCTACATGCATGTGTACATGCGCACATGCACATGGCACCCTAAGCCTGACCACCCTCCTCCCACTCACCCCATCCCTTTGCAGGCTGGAACTCTGCCAGCCTGCAAGGGGAAACCCACCATTTCCCATGTTTTATTATTTTAAGGAGAAAATCTGTGTATTTTCTCCTTTAAATGAGAAAATCTAGGTTTTACTGCATTTTTCCATGGTGAATGGAAAACCCAGATCCCTGATTATCACCAAGGATCCAGGTTTTCCATTTCCCACAGAAAATTGGAGAAAACCGTGGATTTCCCGCTTTTGCAAAGAGCTCTGCAGGCTGGCAGAGTTTCAGCCTGCAAGAGCTGTTTGTAAAAAGGGCAGGAAAGCCCCAACCCTGCCTAGAGGGACAGAGGGAGGAAGAGGGGAAAGGGTGGGGCCTGCGGCTTTTAGTCAGTCGCAAGGCTTTGGTCAGATTCACTTCCCTCCTGGAGCCTGTGAACTGGTAAGTGGGGCTTGCAGGGGGCTGAAGGGTTGCAGGGCAGGGCTGGGGTGGAAGCTGGCTGGGAGCTGAGGGAGCAGGAAGGTGTTGGGGAACTACACGGAGTGCCCAGCCAGCTCCACATCTGTCCACTCCTGGCTGGAGTACCTGGCCAAGGGCATGTGAAACCAGAGTGGTGCTGGTGGCCCTTAAGGAAAGTTGCACATGGAGATGCTGGCCAGGACTGGGGAGATGTGGAGCCAGTCAGGCACTCCAGCCGTGAGCAGGGAGGTGTTGGGGAAATACACAAAGTGCCCGGCTGGCTCCACATCTCCCTGCTCATGTGCGGAGTACCTGGCTGGGGGCAGGTGAAGCTGTGTTGCCTTCCTGTGGCCAGCCGCACAGCTCCATGGGTACAGCTCTGCAGGCAAATGGCGCAGCAGCAGCAGTGCAGGGTGGTGGCAGCTGCTGCATGTGAGCTGCTGTCACCACACTGCACCACCACTGCTGGGCTGCTTGCCTGCAGAGCCGTGCCTGTGGATCCGTGCAGCTGGCTGTGCAAGGTGCAGCAGTGACAGCACGGTACGGTGACAGCCTCTGTGTGTGAACCCCCCGGTCCAGCTGCCCACACGCAGCTCACAGAGGAGCACTGCTACCCTCACCCCTTCTCCCAGCTCTGCTCCTGGAAGTGGACACAGAGCCCCCGCCCCCTCCTCAGTCTGCCCCTGTCACCCCTTCCCCACACAGACAGGGATGCAGCCCTGCCACTTCTAAGTTCCAGTGGCGGGGGGGGGG